CATGGTCGTAAAAAAACGATACGCAAGATGACATGATAATAATTATCAATTATTGAAACAGGAGCTCAGTGCAATTAATTATATCTTTTGTCATAAACAAGGTCTACAAGTTTGATTTTTTTTTGTCTTTAACAGGGTACCCCTTTCAGAATCCCAGCGGAACACCCCTACCCAAATTCTGGCGGAGTACCCCCCCCCCCCCCCAGGCTTTTAGGGGTCATTTTCAAAATTTTCAACAAGCATCCCTGCCCTCCCACATTCACATAATTGATCATCATTAATTGAGGTTTTGTGTGATAATATAATATCCCTTTACACTTAATCATTTATGAGCAACGATGGAAAAGTATTCCATCACCCTGTCATCCAAATTGGCTGCCAGAAAACGTGAAATATAAACAAGCCAAACCGGCATATCTGAGGGGTATACAAAATATACCTCTCTTAAATTCCGTTATTAGAACTGAACCTGCAAACTAAAGTTACCGCAGCACTCCAATAATATTTAAGACGACAATGATAGCGTTATTACTTCCTGATGATAAACGAAACACGATTTTTAGAGGAACAGAAAACATCATGGCTACATAACTTTTCTAACGAGTGGTTGCTCACTGGAAATATTTATTTGCATTGCTTTTTACGAAACTGCAACCACAGATCGAATTGAAACCTTTAAATTATAATCGAGATAACAAAAGATAAGATGTTAAGGCTTTTCAACAAGTAAAGACCCGAGTAGCTGTCTTTCTTTAAGTCAAAGTACAATGTACATGTTTTTTCCTCCAAAACCAGAGGTTAAATATACAGGTATTTAGACCACAAAGTAGCTGGTAAACTAACCTTGTTAAAGATTCGTTGAAGCTCCTTTGGATCAGCTGGCCTCACAGAGTACTACAACAATAAAACACCTTGAGATAAATTGTTATAAAACGACGCAAAATGATACGATAAAATATTAAAAAGGAGGGAATTTGTAAGGAAAATAGCCAAAGCTTACATCAACAATGATCGCCTTGCAGTTCGCCCTTGATACTAGCGGCCATCCAAAATTCCTCGTTATAGAGTCTTTTCGTCTTATTTCCTCTAGCATTGTTAATATTATTGGTGAAAAAACGAATAAAAAATCTAATAAATGAAAGAGTTTCTCATTCTGCAACCAAAGCACGAGATATTATAAACATTGATTGTACAACTACTATGGGTTTCCTGTGGTGTTTTCCTCACGAGCGCGCCAATACCAAATATGGTGATGTGCATGTGATGAGCATGTGATCGTATTCGTGAACATGCAAGGGAATCTTTGAAAGGGAAGGGAGGGTGGCAAAAACGACAAATCGGACAAATCGGCCTTGGGCCATGAACGTACAGAAAAAAATGACAATAGTTTAATCAATAAGAAGGAAAAAAAAGAGAAACAAATTTTTGTTGATTAATAAGGGAGCAGAAAAGCTTGAGTCATACAAATAGAAATGCTTAAGAATGATAAGCTGAAGAAATAAAATATTAAATTAGGATTAGATTAGCAAGGAAGTTTTTTTTTTGTTGAGTTGCTTGTTTTAAGTTAGCTGAATTTGAATATCTAGGACATTTTTGTTGTTGATAAGAAGTGAATAATAAAAAGCTAGAACAACGAAAACAACGACAACTAACTTAATGAATACTACAGTACTACATTACTGATGCATGCTAGCTCTCTATAAATCAGTCTGTAATTTTGCCGCTTTAAAATGGGGCAGGCAACCAATTGGAGAGGTTTTTCAGATGCAATGAGCGCACAATCTCGTACCCAGAGTCTTCCGGCGCCTTCCTGTCGTCAGTGCCTGGGACAGCGCTTGGTTTGGTCTCTCGTACCCAGATATAGCCTTTATTTTCTACTGCGCAAACCTTTATTTCTTACCGCRCATTTCGTCGAGCATGCGCAGTAAGAAATAAAGGGTATGGGTACGAGATTGCTTACGGTATTAAAATCCTAGAACCAATATCGAGACCTAAAATAATAACCGTTACTGGAATTCACATTTGTACATCATAACAGCACAAGGATAATCTTTTAGAAGGCGACTTTGACCGCGGACTGGATCTTTAGCAAAGAACTTCTAAGCGCAGGAAAATGGAAGGGAAACAGGGACGTAGCCAAGGTTTCCCGTAGGGGAGAGGGGGCAAATTAAAAATTCCGCCATTTGATTTGAGCCCCCGAAAGACCGAACCCAAAAAAGACTTTTTAAAAACCAGCGTTACGCTTTTTTTTATTAAAGGTAAAATTTTAAAAAGCTAAAATTTAAAAATTATCGTATAAATTCTAATGAGTCGCCATTTTGCTGCCGCGAGGGTTATAGGGTAAGATGGTGAATTCTTAAACAGGGGAGGATCCAGGATTTTTTGAAAGGGGGGGTTGTAGCATTGATTGAGGTGGTTGATAGATATAGCAGACCAAAGGGTTAGGGAGACGATTATTTGCTGCTGGCGAGCATGGTTGTTTCAGGTCCCACACACGGCGTATAGAGAAAAAAAAGCGAGCGAAATGTGTTCGGCACCCCTGTTTTAATGAAACTCGTGATGCTTTTGGTGTTGTCATGAAAAAAAAAAAAAGAATAAGAATAAGAATAAGAAATCACGATGGCTCTCATAGGGGGGGGGTTGCAAACCCCAAAACCCACCCCAAGATCCGCCAATGTTGAAAGAAACTTTGGGAATAAACTGTGTAGCAAGACTACGTTATATCACTTCAAAAACACTTCAATAGTTGTTTAATTCTAGAAGTAATTTTTATTAAATCATTCCACTAATAAAAACGCAAACAATTGCAAAATAAAGTAAACACTAGCAAGTTATACAGCATATAATGCATATCTAATATATTTAGGCACTGCCTAAAAGCGGAGCTCCCGATACGAAATTAGGGAGCCAGGGAGCCCAATTTGAATTAATCTGAAAGGTAAAAATAAGATCGGGGAAAAAATCTTCAATTATTTTTCCATAATAAAAACCATGCATTGAAATCGAATCGAAATGCACTACAGTGGAACCCCGTTAATCCGGCCCCCGAAGGGACATTCAAAAGTGGCCGTTTTAACGGGGTGGCCGTATTAACCGGGCTGTCAAAAATATGTTAAAAACGTGTTTTATTAATCAGTACGAAACTACTAAACAAATAAAGTGCAATAATGCATATGGTATCTTTAAATAATGTTTCTAAAACTTCTGATGCTATTGGAGCTCAGTTATAACTCAACTTTAGTAGTGCTTTAAAACTTTAAATTATACAGTAGTAAAGGACTATAGATATAACAGTAGAACAGAGAAAACTGAGTACAGTAACAACTACTTTTTAAAATAAGTGACTTTGCTCTGTACAGACAAACGAAGCTTCCTTTGAAGCCATACTGACTCGAGGCTGGATATCACCCCAAGACAGGCTATCGGCATGGCTTGTTTCAATACTGTACCGCTATAAAATAAATGCGGACATACTTTAGCGCATCGCGCTGTATACGTGTTTCTCTGTCTGAAGTTGTTGTGTTGATTCTAATTCTACAAAAAGCATTACTGTAGGATGGTAACTGAATGAATAAAAGAATCACAGATTTTGCAGCAATAACTTTACAGTATTTACATTAAGATCTAAATTCTAACCTATTTGTCCTGGCCGGAGTACGGGGTTAAAAAGTATGGAAGTTTGTCAATCGGGCCACAAAAAAGTGGCCGTTGGCCGTATTAACTGGTGGCCGTATTAAGCGGGTACAATTTACAGTAAATGTATGGGCATTTCGTCGGGACCCAAAAGAGCTGACCGCAATAACGGGGTGGCCGTATTAAGCGGGTGGCCGTAAGGCGGGGTTCCACTGTACATTGTTTTCTATGCGCGATCATACTCTCCCACTTAGGAATTTTGTATAAACTCACCACCAGCCACCCCAGGGGCTAGTTTTGTTCTTTGAAGATTCTTCGACAAAGTTTTCCATGGCCGACATTTTTAAGCTTTGAATTCCTGTTTAATTTTACTTTAAAAAAACGAAAGATAACTACAGACAATCCAACAAAATATCAGGTTTAGTGAAATTTACCTTGGATGTCTTTCATTGAAATCGAAATTTTGGAGATTCCCGATTCTTTTAGGGCAAATCAGGACTATAAAACAGACTTGAAAACTGGTTAAGGCGAGCAAAAAAAAAAGCGTACTTGCGTCTTTTACATAACGATGTTTGGTTTTCCATAGGAATTTTGATGTTTTTACATTAAATGTATTTTTACCGCAATGAAAAAAAAAAATGCTTTGGTAGCATCAGAGAGAAAATTGGCTGGAGATCATCAACTAACTAAACTTGAGAAATGAAGGCCCTGAACGTTTAAAACCAAATGTGTCATCAGTTAAAAGAAAAAGCTTTCTTAATTACTTTATTGAAATAATTTTATTCCTTTCATATAAGAATTAATTAGTTTTCGAGAAGCTTGAAAACTAAGCTTACTAAATTTTGAGATTCGATTTTACCAGTTTTCATGTGTGAGAAAGATACGAAAATCACGAAGGATTTCGAAAAACAAAGTTTACATTCAGTATTAAACTTGACACGAACAACTGAGACAAAATAGAAAATAATGCAAAATACAAAATGACTAATTTCTTTGTCAGTAAATTGGCATTTGTAAATGTTTTTGAACATTTTTTAGCTTTATAAAGTGAAAGACAAGGTCTTTATACAACAACATCTCTCAACAACACAAATTTAAGCTCATTTGTATGATCATGGCTAGTTTGAACAACTTAATAAACAGTTGAATATCTGGTGTAATTTTACATTTCATTCAAAATATAAATAAATAATCTGAAGAAAGATATAAAATTATTGAATGAAAGTCTTCAGCTTTGTTTTGCCGATGGGACCCGCGATAGGAGGCAAACAAAGCTGCATTTTTCTTGAACGAAAAACATACGATAGTTGGTTAAAAACAACCGAATTGTTAATGATTTACAAAGCTAAATAAAGGACGGATATTTGTTGTAATATGCTCTTCATGTTATATTTCATCCAGCATTAAAATAAATTAAGCTTATCCATAGAAATATTAAAAGTTTTGAGAGAAAGTCTTTGATTTGTCGATTCGTCGAGAAAAAATGCTTGTCAAAAAATAATAATATACGATTGTTTGCTAAAAAAACACACCTGAATTCTTGAAGAACACTTCTTGATCCATCTTTGAATACATGAAAGTTTTTTTAATTGTCTTTGGTTTATAACTTGCCCTAAAGCGATTTTTTCTGTGCATTTGAGAGCCGCCTTAGCTAGTAGTTTTGCTTCAAATTCCTTTGTCTTTCACGTTCATTTTCTCTTTGTTCATCCGTCAAGTTTTGCCTCATATTCCTTTTTCTTTCACGATCATGTTCTCCTTGTTCATAATCGAAGTCCCGCCTGGATTTGCGCTTTCTCTCTCTCTGCTTGCCGCTTTTCGGTCTTCGGTGAGATTCCTTCGTCTTTGCCTTTCTTTTTCACGCCTCCAGAGCTTTTCCTCTTCCGAAAAAACTCTTTTACTTCTGGCCTTTCTTTTGGCTTCATTCTCCTCTGAGCTTTCTTTCGACATATCGATTTCGGAAAGGGGTTCCATCGCAAATAGAGTAAATATAAATATAAATATAAGCTTGAATAAAAAATTGTGTTGTTATATATCTTTCGGTATTTCTATACGCAATAACAGGTGTAATTTTTTTTACATATTTGTACGTGTGTACCTTTATTGGTACCCGGATGTTGCAACGCGTCGACATTCCCGCCAAAATAAAAATAAAATCTAACCAGCCAATCGGGATTCTTGTGTACACGGACGCCCAAAGGCCTTTCGGACGCCCGTACGGACGGACGGAAGTGATTGAATGGCCAAGCCCTTTGGAGTCAGTTTGAAAATAACGACAAAATATAAAGGATAATCTAAAGACTGAGGACGTTATATGATGTTTCTCAATCAAGGTGACAGCCATCCCCCTTAATTATATAGGCTCTGGGTAGTTTTGGTCTGGCACACCTAGCCGCATTGAAACGGCTACAACTTCGTCTTGAATAACTCSATCTGCAAGCGCTTTTCACACAATGTCAGGAAGGGATTAAAGGTTTCAAAAAATGATAAATTAGTTTAAAGAGGACTTTTCGTTATGACGTAATGATGACATCATAGAAATCGTTTACCGCTTATTTTCTCGAAAACTAGACCTAAACTTTCAAAGCGACTTGCACCAGTCGATAGTATTCATCAAGGCACTCAACATATTGCAATATGAAAAATATTTATGAGAGTGTTTTCCAAATATTACGCGATGAATATTTTCATGGACTTTTACTATCATTTCCAGCGTGTCAACTTTATACCCTCAAAATCGGGACTTTAATTTAGTGGATTCAATATTTTTAGTAATTAGAATATAGGTACGGATATAGACACTGACCTTATTGAGTATGAATCAAATTGTGACATTCTTTCTAACGTTATGGATTTTTTGATATGAAGCTAAATGACCCCATTTGTTGTCAAACGCGATAGAAAATATCGATGAAAGCGGCATTCAAAAAATCGTCGAACGATTTTTTTCTAAATGAAGTCACTAAAAGATGTATCTTTTACAAATATTCTCCTTTAATTTCATATGCATTGAAGGGTTTTAAGGCAGTCAAATAAAAATAAATATTCTCACAACTATTTTCGCTCACCGCTACTTCGTTGATTATTCACGCTTGACTTCCGTGTTATTCCTTGTCGTGTGCTGTTAGTTGTGAGCGTACTTAATTTTTACCTGCGAATAACTAGACAAAATGGACGAGCAATAGGACGTTTGCACGATGGCGTCATTGACCTCTACTACCAGACTCCCTTGCACACTTTCTTTTGTTCAGTTAATTAGCACCAATTTTCTTACTATTCTCATGAGGGAATACAAATTTAAATAAGAAAGAAATTTCGCGAAGCATCTTGGTAGTTAGTCTCCCTCGCATCCGTTTTTAGTGTCGGTCGTCGCGCAACGCTCCCTCCCTGTGGGGAGGGAGCGTTGCGTGACGACCGACACTAAAAACGGGTGCGAGGGAGACTACTTGGTAGTGGGAGTCAAATGATGACATCGTGCAAACGTCCTATTCCTGCATTCATATCAAGCATGTGCTCATGGCTGATTCTGCGCATGAGCATAGACTTTGACTTGACGCATGCATCTTAGGGCTTCGAGGGCGATTTGTTGACTATCAATCCCACTATGGGGCTGAATTATCCTCCAAAAAGGCTCGATTATCCTCAGAAGCTCAATTATCCTCCGAAGAGGCTGATATTTTTTATCTGCATTTTTGTATCTGAGGTCAGCCATTGGCCAAACATCGGCCTAAAATTTGAATAACACCTACAAAACCTTTCACTTTACCGTAAAGAAATACCAAATGAAAGCTGTGATAAATTATATGGTTGAATTTGATGAAAACACGGCTTCTCTGTCCTAAACAAGTATCTACACCGTACTATCGACCAAGTACTACTACGAGATTGACTTAGCTGAATAGTCAGTTTCTTTCTGTGTAAACAGCAACCTAAAAGTTGAAACACTTGAAAAGCCTTTCATTTTATCCCTTAGAAAAACGATATGAATGCTGTAATAAGTGACATTGTTCAATTTTCTAGCAAAATAAACTTTATTTACCTAAACTCGTGGAAAGAAGTTAGCCAAGTACGAGCTGCACGTCAAGCACGAGGTAGCGATCGCAAATCGACAGTAATCGGAAAGAAAGAATAATGCCGACATTCCTTCGTTTGAGGGGTGATTGGTTCCGAAGTTTAGCGATTGTCTACGAGACAGACTTCGGTAATCGGCTGACTGCTGATTGGTTGTTCGAGTACTTTTTGGGCTTCCTGCGCTGTTATACTCTTACTCACGGACACACAACCGATGGCATAGTGGCTTCGCCTCTTCGAGGCAGCAGCAAAAAATAACGAAGCCCAATTTATACCTCGGGCATTTCTTCGAAAGCCCGAGTAATAAGGTGTGTATATATCACTTTTACAGAGCAGTACTCGATGTTAATCAGGAAACAAATAAAACTACTATCTTTATAAGCGGCTTTTTTACAAGGGAACAATCTACCGAATATATCATTCTGCACAATCTTCTTTACTTAGACGGCCTGTCGATAGCACTGAGTTTTATTAAAATGTCGATTGAGCCGCTTCAAAGGAGGCGAATCAAATCTCATGCCGCCATTATTCACATTAGTGATTTTTTTGCACTAAAAATCGGTAGTTTACATTTAAGATTTTATCTTTTTTTTACATATTGGATTTTATCGATAATTAATATATTTAACTTTAAGAAGAGATAACTAGCCCGTGGAAAGTCAACTGAAAATAAGGATGGAATATTGTGTAAAAGTGAGTGAAATTTTATTCCTGGCAAAGTAAAAATAGCTATATGTATAATTTGTGTTCATCAGGTTCGTACAGATTCCTCAGTGAAAATTTCCAAAACTTTTCCAAAAGCTTCTCAAAGCCCATCAACTAAAATTTCCAAAATCACATAAATCAAAAAAAAATAAAGTGAAATTCATGGATGAAAAACATTTAACATACAAACCAATACAAAATATGGCACCATATTAACATTTATTTTTCTGTTTATTTCACAAAAAATCTCAACAACTACAAGATAAGAGTTCTGTTGAACTTTCAAATAATAAATCAGTGCAGTTTGTCTTTCATCGGCGTTTTTAATTAAAGTGTATATCAAGGAAAAAAGATTATTTTCAAAATCACTTATTTTTGAACAGTGTAGTAGTATGGTTGCAATATTTTTGTATGTGGACTTCTATTTTCAGAGATATAAACATTTGAAATATTAATATCCAAATGAGATGACGTAAATTCAAGAATAGGTTACATCTGAAGTGAAATAACCTAAAAGTGTACAAAGCCACATATTTCAGACATAAGGATGATTTGCAAACAAAAAAACAACAGTACTTTCCACAAAAGCATTTTTGTATAATAAATTAGTCTTGAATTTACGTCATCTCATTTGCATATTGATATTTCAGATGTTTATATCTCTGAAAAGAGAAGTCCACATACAAAAATATTGCAATCATACTACTACACTATTCACATATAAGTGACTTTGAAAGAACAAAAAATTCTTGATATACACTTTAATACAACGAAAAGTTAGAGTTCTTTGCAAGGTAGGACCTGGGCAACCAACAGAAAAAAAACATAGCTTTTCCATAGCCCAGTGGTCGAAAAAGAAATTTTCCAAAACTTTCCAGGTCCTGGAAAAATGCATTATTGATTCCCAAAACTTTCCAAGACTTTCCAAAACCCGTACGAACCCTGGCTCATGCACTTGTTTGTGATCGTACATTACTGAAAAGTTGTGTTCTGGCTAGTTTAATCCACCAAACCACATGACCAGTAATACAGAGATAGTTAAACGAAAGGATTCGAATTATTTTCGGAGCTATTTATGACGGAGAAATCTTGATACGTAATTTATCAGTTTGACATCAGTTTGTTTGGTGATAAAGAAAGTGAAAGCGAATGAAATAATACGGTGCATCAGGTTTCCATCTGTTTTGTTTTGCTTTTGACTTTTTGTTTTTGATTTTCCAGTTCGCACTAGCTGCCAAGACATTACAGCTGGTGCAGGAAAGAAAAGTACTAGTGTTTTAGAATAATAAAGGTGAAGTATTTTTCATAGTTTGGGTTGTTTTAATAATATCATAGTGGTTCAATATATATTCGATCGCTTAACGCGCAAGAATACTCTAACCTAGCAAAGTAGTACCGTGCCAGTCGTACCGCAACGGAAACAACGGACAACAAACATACCACTGATAACGCACAACCAGTGAAAAGTGAGTGCAGTGAATGCTCGGATTGGCACCGGGTTGCTTGGCAATGGTACCAGTAGGAGCCGACGTTCAGTTAAATAAAATACCATGACTTCTATTTACAAAAAGAACGCCTCGATTTATTTCTCGGGTTGGATGGGATTCAGCGTCATCTTTTGAGGCGTTCGAAATTTAGGAAGACACAGTCCAAACCTCGTCTCGATGCCAGCATACGTTGCCACGGCAACACGCATTCCACCAATGTGGTCGGGGTTTAGAGACAAGTCTGGGTTTGTCGGGATCAAGTCCGASYTTGAACTTGTCGTTGAACTAGAAACAAAAAAGGCCATACTTAATATTYGTATTCTTGATCGAGATGCCAAGTAGCAGCCGTAAAAACTTTTCGAAAAGTTTTTTTGCGTTTTTTTTTCTCTCGCAGTCGTCGGATTATTTACAGACGTATTATTAGTATATAAGACGCAATTAGTATCCAAGATGCTCATACACTATATAACATACCCTTCAGAGTCGACATTGAATAGTCTCTTTAGCTGTTCATATGTCAGGAGTGTGACACCAAACTGAGGGGAAGATCTGAAAACACGAGCTGGAAAAAAAAAAAAGAAAGAAAAAACAAGATTTTAAAGTTTATACTTTTCATACATATGGACGATGCTTTAGAACTATGAGCGAGGGCAGAGATGACTGAACTCACCCCCAGATCCCTTCCATAACGCCCGTCCACCTTCTTCTTTCATAATCTTGGTGAATGCATCAAATATTCCTCTGTAGATTTGCTGTCCTGGACGGGCTTTGACCTAGTATTAGACAAGGTTTTAGAAAATATTAGACAGGAGGTGTTTGATCTGAGATGAAAGCATATTCATGAGATCCGTACCTGTAACCTGGTCTTGATGACGTCGGCAGGAGTGACCAGGAAGGCTGCCGGAATACCTGGAATTAAAAGATGACAAAACTAAATGAATGAATGAATGAAGAAATGAATAAATAAGCAAGCAATAGAGAATAAAGATAAATTGAAATTATGAAAGAACGAACGAACGAACGAACGAACGAACGAACGAACGAACGAACGAACGAACGAACGAACGAACGAACGAACGAACGAACGAACGACTGACTGACTGACTGTAGACTGACTGACTGAATGCATGTGTATGTATGCATGTATGTTACGTGAATAAACAAATGACTGACTGATAGACTGATAGAGAGGATGAACGGTGGGTGGTTGAGCGGATGGTTGATTGCCAGCAAACAATAACCTACTGACAGATGTATGGCGGCATGCGGTAATGATAGAGTGAACATTAAAGTGTCTGAGGTATTTACCTGCCATCACTCCGGCAGAAAATTGGCTTTTTGCACTGTTATGTCCGTTTTCGTCAGCAAAGTTTAGTTTCAAATGGGCATAAGCAGAAAAATAGATGCCAGAAAATGGAATGTCACGCAAGAAACAGGCTCGTGCACCCTGAAAGTAATATCAAATGTAAACTCTTAATTATAATGGAGAGATGGTTGTGTTTAGGGAAGAAAATGTCAGTGTACGCGCAGTGCAATCCTCGAATCATTTCAATGAGGACCAACGAGTCGAGGACCCTCAGTGTGAGAGTAAAGTGCATTACCAGAACACTACATTTGATTGCTGCTGGGGGAAAACATGAAACATGACTGAAAACATGAAAAATTTTCGCTTTTCTCGCGTGAATGTTCTACAAATTACTTTTGTTGCGCTAGAACAGAGGCCAACACAAGGAAATTCCATGAATGATTAACCAATTGTACCTTGTAGAGTCCAGTGACGCCCAGTTCTTTCACACAAGCCAAGGCAGTCACTTTCTTTCCAGGCTGTTCTCCAGCTACTTGTAAGCGAATCTTAACGATCTCAAGAGGATTGGTAAAGAGTACCTGAGCTGCTCCAGCCTGCCAAACACAGACAAGAATGAGGGTGTTAGTGATGCTTTTATTTTTAGGCTGCAGCAACATGACTCAAAATCCCTGAGACATAAATACAATGAAACAACCACCATGTTAGTTGATCTAACAAGAGAAGCTAATGAGGAATGCTTTGTTATCATCAACCAACATGGTGGCTATGACGTAACATGCAAGGTATGTTGGTGCTCATGTAGAGTGATCTCGAAGGTACTACGTCCCAGCAATTTCATCAGTGGAATGAGCAGTAACCTCGCACGCTTTTAATAAGTCAACGGAAAATTTCACTGACTCCGTACGTTCACATTGTAGTATGCCGTGAAGTTATACAGTCCTATGAAATCTACCCCATCTGTTTGGACAATCGACTTAATTAAGCATATAGGGTGCAGAAGGACATACTGATGATAACGGTTAAATTGTTTCCTATAAACCCTTTTCATGAATAGATAACACTCTAGTCAGAGTCAGAGTCACCTGATAAACTACAAAACTGAGAGCGGCAAGGATTATACATTTGACATGTTTCCGTGAGCACTCGATAACTATTGATGGACTTGAGATTTTTTACAAGTTACAGTTTCACCTGCTATGGCTATCCACAAGCTATAGTTTGTATCAAACGTTTTACTTATTAGATAAGTATGAAATGCTTTGTAGATGCCTTTGGTAAAACCTAACTTTATAAAATAAATGTATGGATGAATCAAAGTCTTCATTAGACCTGATGATGTCGTGGAGATGTCAGCGAACCATGGTCTTTTACAACTATAGTTTTCTTATTAAATTGTATACCTAAAAGTACCTTTATCAAGAATCAAAGTCTGTTAGTGATAAATATAATACTTACACATCCACCAGCAATGATCTCATATGGAAGACTTATAAAACCATCATTATCGCTGAAGAATCCTCGAACCATGTCATTAGTCTAGAAGAAAAATATTTATATCAACAGAGACATCAATAAATACGATAAACAATAAAGAAAAACAAACTAATCGAAGATCTTTTAGGGAAACTTTTTATTAGAAAAACTAAATTCATACATAAATTAATAGAAAATACTCATTTAAATATCTCGTAGGTAAACCTTTTATTTAAAAAACTAGCGATAGGAACAAGCGAAAATTCGATGTTAAGACAACATCATTTTCACCTAAAATATTGTATTTAGAATACGATATTAGCATTTAGTTTGAGCTTGAAAATGATGTTTATTAACATAGAAACGTCATTCGTGTGGCTCGTTTCTATCGCTAGTCGTTATGAGAAAACCAAACTAGTCGTTTTTTTGTTTTGTTCAAATACACGTTTGAAACATTCTGCACTTTGTATCTCTGAACTTGGAACTCCAAATTTCTTTCCAGTTTTGCTGTCTGGCAGGTCGAACTAGAAGGGACAGGTTCTTAGATTCCCTCTCAATCTCGTACATAGAGCTCACGTTCCTCTCGGTACTGAGCAAAAGGAACGTGGGCTCTGGGTACGAGATTGATTCCCTCTACTAGATCACAGCAGTGTCCAAATAACTCCATAGCTTTTCTTTCGATTGGGGCTGGGTTTAACTTACCCTTAGTTTGATGGCTTTTTCGGGTGAAACTCCTACGAGCTGAGGCAGAAGACCTAAGATTTGGAACACAAGATAACTAAATATCGGGATTTATTGCGCGACGATAATGATTTTTAGCGCAACATCGTTGCGTTAAAAGTTGGTGTAACATGGCGCGTGCAAAAACACAAATCGATGACAATAATGTTGTGACTTTTGAATGTCATTCAAAAAACTGCAATATGTTGCGCGAAACAAAAATTAGTTGGGAATCGCCTCGCTGTAACACCACCTTATACTTCAAAACTGAACGGTTCAACAACCCCAAATATGGTAAAAACACGTTAAATAGGCCAGTCTTCCCAAGAAAAAATGTTTTATTCTTTTGGTCTTCCCGATTAGCAAAGTGCTTGCGTCAAGCTAGAAGACTCGAGACTCAAACAAAGTTTATTATTTTGTCTTAATTATACAACTGATTTTCAAGCAAACAAGTGAAATCCTTGTTAAGATCCAAGTGGGTTTGAGGCTAGAGAAAGGGGATATCAGGCCATACTTGATGCCCTTAAACCTGGGAATTGGTTTTACCTCTATAGAGTCCTCGTATTCCTTCGCTCCTGATCACTTTAATGGCACAATCAAAGCTGTTTTTGTACAGTTTGTCCGCATCCAGAACAGCTCGTTGATTCTGCATTCGCGTCTTGACCAAATCGATTGGATACACGGTGGTAGCACCCGTGGCTGCAAGATAAACAGAAAGAATATGTTAAAGATTGGTAAAAAAAAAGGTGAGATGGGTCGTGGAAGGAGGTGAGAGGGGCAGTAGAAAGGTTATGAAAAAGGGTCAAAAAAGTCAGTTAAATGTTGTCATAGGGAATTCGATAAAAAATGGAACGTAAGTCTAAGAGGAGCTTAGATAATATTTTATTATATCAGCGTTAGGGGTTGACCTTAGCGCAGAGAGACAAATGCCAAATTTCAATTTTTTTGGAGATGTTATTTCCGTATTCTTAAGGGCACTCTTGGGCAAAAAAAGAGGTAAAACTCACATCACTCCCGAGAGCTGCCCCTGTGTCAGAACCCAGGCTACTATGGTTAAAACCTTTTATTGATACCCTGAAACACTCCCTTGGTCGACAAGGAAAAGATTTGTAACACTAACCTCCAGCTGTTGCGGCCAGACCAAAATTAAATACATTTTGTAGTACACGCCAGATAAATGACACTTGCTTTTCATCTGGTTCCATCAACATCTAACAATAAAATAGCTTTTCCATTTAGTATTTTATATTTCTATTTTCTAAAATAAAATAAAATAAAATTTAAAAATTCCTGTAAATAAGAGAAAATAGGTCTTGTCAAGAGAAAATGAACTAAGAGAAGGAATCCCCGTGCCCCATCATGTGCACACTTTGATGCTATTTTTAGAATCATTGATGCTATTTTTAGCTCGTTACCATGCCCGCGCGATAATCATGCTTCCTTTAATGCCTCGTTTTAGGACACGAAAAGTGACAAAAAAAAAAAAAACCACACACATGCTTTTGTTTACTGCAAGACTAGAAGCCGACTACCCTCAAGAAATCAACCAATCAGGTTCTTCGCTCAAAATATCTCCAAGCTAAAAATAGCATCAAACTGTGCACATGATGGTTACAAGGCTATATAGGTAGGATACCTTCTCTTAGTTCATATTCTCTTGGACTTGTAAATTGATAAGTTTATTTTGTTTTGTTTTCCGTTAMTAAAATATTGTGTAGTTCTGGAAATTATCCATACCCCCACCCCCCACGTAGGAATTTTTTTGAGACCCCCCCCTCCCCTTACTCCCAGAAATTCCAATTTTCTTCCATACAAACTTTGTAATTTCGTTCTTTATTTGTCCCCCACTAGAAATTCCAAATTCCTATTTGGGGGGGGGGGAGGGGAGCATTCAGCAAGAGTTAATCTAGAAAAAGTATGCAAACTGACTTACCTCTTCATCATGTCTTTCAGTTGAGAATACTTTAAAAACATCGTGCTTTGGCAGGAYGTGATGAATGTCTGAGATTGTTATTCGACTGTTGAGAAAAAAGTTTATCATTTCAAAACCCTTTAAAACAACTAATATATTCCTCTTACATACAGGCTGCAAGCACATGCCACAGTATTTAGCAAATGCAATGTTTTGTTACCTTTTCGAAAATTAATAAAAACTGAAATGCGCACACACAAGTAGTGTCCATGCACAGAACTAAGACAAAAATGATTAGGAGCTACTTATGTTATTGGATTAGAGCAATAGACCTTCCAAGTGGTGCAATGTTTTCCCATTATAGACCATGGATTGTGTCATTCTCTTGAGAATAAGATTCTTCATTTGATTTATATCTATATTCTTGTGTTAATGAGATGAGTGAAAGAGGTGAAAAGGAAACAACTCAGAAAAAATCTGAGTTCCAGATGGGATTGGAACCCATTACCTTTCATAATCTGGATCAGTCGATCAGGGACACTCTAACCACTGAGTTATACATGACCTAGTATACCTTACCATTAGATTTCCCAGAGAATCAGTGATTAGAGCATCTGACTAGATTATGGAGGTTGTGGGTTCAAATCTTATCTGGATCTCTGAGTACTTTCTCTTTTACCTGCCATCATTCAATCATCTCATTATCATATGTATGTCTTGTTATTCGTTCTAACACATGGTTTATAATGGGAAAACATTGTGCCATGATAAATAAAGTATATTGCTATACCAGCTGTCTTACAATAACAACTCACCCTCTTCTGTCCACATCACAAAGATGGTACAGAATGTCCACTTGTAAAGGAGTGACCTGTAGAAAATTACATCTGATTATGGATGTACCATGACATTGTTGAACTGTATTTTAAGAGTGCCTATCACCCTTCTGACTCCCTTATCAGGCACAGATAAATTAAATTTGGAATATGTCATTGTTTTACCCATTGCTCTTATAGAAATTATTGCAAGTTCAGGTTTTCACATAGTAGCTGGTGCTTCAAATTTCAAGGAACAACAAATAACCATAAAATAATCCTTCCTCATATATCACAGCATTAGCATTTGACATGGAAAAAACCTTTATAACTTTCAAGAAGCTACACTCAAACTATGCAATTTCTCAGGTCATTCAACATCTTACCCCTTGTAGAATCAATACTGAGAATACATGTATTGTCAGAAGGGTGATACACACTTTAATGTGTCATAATTGGAATACAGTTTCACTTACTGCTGTACCACTCAAAAACAAAATGTCAAACACTTTGTTTGCTTCAGTTAATTATCTCCAGCTGACAGACAGACAGACAGACATATTTACTGTCTTACTAATCAATTGGACCCCCCTCCCCCTGTTGGCTTAGTTCATCAGTTGCTTGGGCACTGGCCTGTTGTGTGGGAAGTCATGTGTTTAAGCCCTGTGTATGAACAACCACTTAGCCAGAACTGTTTCAAGATATCCGAGTAGGAGGTGCTGCATTTACTTTAACTGTTAGGCCTTTGCTCCAGTGGCTTGGACATAAAACCGTCTCATTCAGGGACATTACACACAGAGGGCCACAAGGGAGTAAGGTTTATAGTGTATGAAGACTTTGTTATCCAAGTACAGACTCCTTGCGTGTGACTTCAAAGCAGGTCAATTTGGAGGACAAAACAAAAGAATTTCAATCTCATGAGAATTGGAAACCATTGTTATATCCTCCAAATTGAGCTGCATTACGACATGCGGCAAGGGGTCTATTCTGGGCTTGTGTTAATGCAGTTTGAAAATTCTCACATATTTTTGTAACATATTCTCTCATACCTCTGGATGTGTCTTAAGAACCTCATGCAGGAAGTCCTCTACAGTCGAAGAAAAAAATAACTTGTCAAAAATGAAAATATATAGCTTGAAATCCAAGGTTCTACAAGTTCTGATATTTTGAAAGTGTCTACTATTGGTCATGTTCTTTGATAAAATAAAGAAATAAAAATAAATAGTCCTTCTTTTAAGGTGGATTTCATAAGCCTGTGAAACAAAATGTACTAATTATTAGAAGTTTACTAGTCAAAAAAGACAAAAGAAAACGAAAAATTATCATGAGGTAGTGAKTAATCTGCTATTTAAAGAGTATATCATGGATTTATGAAAACCACTCTATGAGGGTACCACTTTAAAGTAAAAAATAACCAAAATAAAATAACCAAACCTGTAGCCCTTGTTCCATGATCATTAATTTTTAATGTGGGATGAATACCGGAGAACTCAGGAAAAAACCCTCAAAGTACAGGAGAGAATCAACAAGCAACTGCTCACAATATGATGCCGAGTCGATCTTGACTCAAACCTGGCCAGTCACATTAGTACAAGGTGCTATCACTGATAAGCCACCAGTGCTTCCCTATGATCATTCTACACTTTTCTGTATAAATTATGAATGACATTCATGACAGAGTAAAGAAGGCCTCACCTTTCTTTATTTCTTTATATCGTTTCCCCTTGGCCAATTTATTGGAAACATCATGAAGGATGAGAATGTTATCAAGCATGCTATTGAATGCCCTGTAGTAACCGTAGCTTACACGGTGACGTGCTTCACCTCCTTCCACCTAATTGGGTACAAAGAAAATGCTCAAAGACTCGCTATTCCTTTTATTCATGCCCACTATCCATGAAGTATTCTCTATTTATAGATTCATTGGTTATATAACAATTACTATTACTACAATCTATATGTTTTAACACACCGTTAAGAGTAGACGTGCTTGCACTTCATCTGGAGCAAGAAGATGGCCTCTAAGAGTCTTCATGATTTCTGCAAACTTTGTAGCTGGTATTTCACCATTTGACATTTTTGCATGAAGGAATGCCTGGCGCTGGTATTCCTTTTCAAAATCCTGAAATATGAATAACAGGAAAAAAATCATACTCAAACATTAAACAGCAACTGTTAAATCTAACATAATTTGCTTTCATGCTAATTTTTACCCAAATATTTAGTTTCAGAAAACATTAACTAGGGATATGAATTTCTATAAATATTTATGGGTGTTCTTAAGAAACAAATGGCAGGATCATTCAGGCTTTGCATCATCACATGATGGCAGCCATGACAACAACTGAGTGTTTTCCCCTGGCCCCAGTTGTAACAAGTCTTGTAAGCTGTGAATAGTTTTGTGATTTTAAATATTTATTTAGTAGTTCACAACAATTTAATATCAAATGTGTCCACTTTTGAATGAAAATTTAACACTCAGTCCACCACAATTCCACATGGTCTCAGATTTTGAATTTTAGATCGTTTTAAGAAATAATATAATACACATAGGTATTATATTATTATTACTTATTGTCATTACAAAATTTCAATGACTTCCCTTAATGCAGTTTTCAATATTATGCTAGCTCTTTAGTTGCAAGCTCATGATGATTTTTTTTGCTTCTGCTTGAACCTTCAATCCACGACGACATCACAAAGGACAAAGTGTGCAATTCACATCAACACGTCAACCTGACTCAGTTCAGGTTAACGGAATGCATAAAGTATGGACATTTCTAAGCAAAACTATCCATATTATTTTGGAATATTGGTACAGCATGCATGTTAGAGCTCCCAGCTGTAGTTTTGGCAAATGAGTTGAAATAAAACAAAGTATTTCTAGGGTTTATTTTGTGTGTTGTAATAAAAAAGAAAACAAATGTATAATGTTTTAGCTTGAACTGATATGTGATGTAATAAACAATAAGTTCCTTGATGTCATGCTGTCTCTTGAGTTTCTATGATTTCTCATGATCATTGAAAATAGAAGTTAATAATAGCCAATACTCCAGGGGCAGGAAAATCTTGAACAATTGTACAAAAAATATATTGTATGTCAGCATTCTGCAAACTTTATCTGCAGTGAATCTTAACACCTAATGAACTCACTAACTGTATAAAGTTAGGATCGCAGGACAGTGTAATTTGGGGGAAGGCTGTGGCTGCCACTGGCAGAATACAACCTTCTCCATTATCAGCAGTTGACCAAATCACTTGTCTAATGTAGAGTACATATTTTTGTGCATCTTATGAAACAATGTAATGACAATAATCCTTAATTGGAAGTTTTCTCTACTATTTGCAAGAACGAAAATTTGTTACATGGAAAGTGGTAATAACAAGCAACATTTCTTCCAAATCAATGGTAATGTAATAACGTCATTACAGCACCCTAGTTTATATCAATAATGTTTACCTGAAGGAGATGAGAAAACTCATGAAATGGCACACATCTGTCCTTTTTCGCTCCAAAGTAATCGTTTATCAACTCTGACTCGAAATGGAATTCAAGTTTATCATAGAATTTTGTTTTTTTGACGACAGTCTGGAACTCATCTGTAAAGAAAAAGAATTGAAATCAATTCCTATTGATCCTGTAAATATAATGATTTAGAAAATACAAATAAAACAATAATTAATGTTATTATATGGCAAGGTAATTTGATGTGCTATGATTGGTCAATTTGCGGTCCATAACTTACGGTACGGACCAAAAAATGAAATGGTTCCCTGAGTGTACGTACTGTACTTATGATCTTTTAAAACATTCAAATCTTCATTAAAAAAATATATTTCTGGATGAAAATGGTCGGGAAACCTTCAATAAATAATTAAAGATAACTGAAAGTCACTGGCATAAAATGTAAAACTCATCAAACAAGCAACAACCCTTTCATACAAGTGACAACTCTTTCGATCAAGGCTCTACACGGCACTAGTTAAGCGATTTTGTACGACTAGAAAAAACTATAAAAACTAACTAGAGTGCATTCAGTCAAACTGTTGAATAGTTAGATAAATGTATCTAACTTAGATAACTATTTAGTTGACTTCACCTAAAATAGTAAAAGTGCGCCAAATAATGGTCATGATAATCTGGGGGGTTGTTATACCAGAGAATGAGTGAATAGACATTCATTTATATCATCGTTTCTCCCCCTGATCTCAGTAGCTGTTTACTCGTAGTTTCAAATTTATGTGAGGTCAGATAAAATAGTAACTAACTTATCTAATTTAGGTGACGTCAACTATTCAACAGTTTGACTGAGTGCACTCTATGCTAAAACTAAAACTACTATGCTAAAACAATGTCAAACTACGAACTAAAGGGTGGTGAATAGCGGCTAATTCAGTAAATGAAATAAAGATAGGTTTACGAGTAGAATTAACATAAATTTGTTATTTCAGTAAGCTTAGAACATCAAGTTTGAACTTATCTGAATCGATCGGGTGAAGAAGCCAGTAGTTTCTTTTGTTAATTGTTTTAATCAGTTTTCTAGGCTCATCCGCTCTTGTCGGATTTCAATATTTCAGTAATATTTCATCCACACTTGAATTTGAATGCATTTTTTTTTTGAGAGTAGGCAGCAGTACCTTTTTTAATTGAGTCGAAAAAGTGCCGTCTTCATGACTTCAGCCATTGTGTATATGGCAGCCTGCTTCAAACAGTCAAAACATTGAAAAGTGACTAAAACTATCCATGTTCAGCGAGCCGTAATTTTTCAAAGCTTCTCATTCATTTCTGGTGAGAGTTTTTGAGTTTTTTTCCCAATAAAAGACAGGAAAACAAACGGAAGGCTGTAGTATTTTTCATCTTGGTTGTGAATATCTTGAAGTTTGAAGTACGACAGTTTTCTTCTCAATCTCATGTTGAGTTCTCAAGGTCTTCTTTTGATGCCTTTTTTGCTTTGCATTTACATGTTTTGCAAAAGAAAGCCTCACGATCTGTGAGTTTATTGAACGGCTTAGAAAACTCATGATGTATGTTCTCATATTGTACAGAATTCTTTACGAAATGAACCAAGTTTGATAGAGAAAATCCAAGTTAAAGTTTATGCAAATGAAGATGAAACTATATCAGATATGAAACCTCCTTCACGGTCATGATTTCTATTGTGTTTCCTTCATGAATTATTAATGAGTTTCTTACTTGAATATATAAAGAATGCTACTTAAACACACACACACGCACATAAACAAAGAAAAGAAAAATATTGTTGAGTAGCCTCAACAAATATCTTATTAACCTCGTTTGCTTGGTCCTTCGCGCTTGGGCCATAAGGCAGTGGAAAAAACTCGGTCCATAACTTAAACGTAGCCTGCAAAGCAGGCGTTCTTGTGGGTTTGGGGAAACACCGGGGTTTTGGGGGAACTTTGGAACGAGCAAGAATTGAAACAGGAACCCGATTCTTCCTCTCAAATCCATCAAAAGAACTAATTTAAACGGACCTCGCACTCGGTTAATAAGAGCTATGTATTTAGCAGTGGCTTCTAGAAGAGCTCTTTTTCCAGTGTCAGCCCATCAAAATCTTAAAGCTTAGATTTGCAGAGGAGGAAAACATGAATAAAAATCTTCAAAGACAAGAAGGAATCAACAAGCATCTCAACTAATTATGTAACGCTGAGATTGGGAATCTCCAGGCAGGTAGTAATGCAGAGAGGCAAGCATGCACTATTAGCAGGGCTTAAAATAGCAGCAGCCCAGCTTGAACTGGGAATTTACCTGTCAAATCTTTACCTTGCTGCTCACGTTTAGCCAGAAATGAGGTCAAAACAAATTTGATCCATGATCATGACCAGCAACTGATCGGCTGTTATTTTAGGCCCTAAAAGAGTACCCATATATACCTAAGAGATAAATGTACTACTAAAGATAAACAATAGTGTATATATTGAATGTTTTACATTTGCTTACCAAAAGAGACAGAACCTTTGCCATCGAAGTCAAATAATTGAAAAATCAATTTGTGATAGCTATCAGGGTCACGAAGAAGCCCCTCAAATGCAAGAAACTCGCTGAATGAAATAAGTCTAGGAAAACAAAAAAAACTCAGTCAATTTCGATGTACAGTCTTACTTTTATATGCAAGTGTTTACATGCATGGTGAATTATTTCTTTACAAAACATCTGCACAAGGCCAGCTAGTATGTTATGGTGAAACTTGTATCTGATGATTTGTCCCATAATGTTGCTGCGAATAAGTTGCCACTACAAATTCCACCATGTAACAGCCACTTTACAGCCCCATTATTGGAGATGGACCTGATCTTGTTTTAGGGCAAACATTTTGTACTGGATTATACAACTGCTGACTATTGACTGATAAAGTTGTCACACATTTGGCATTCAACGCATGCAAAAAAAACTTAATGGAAGTATGAAAACACAGAAGTTTTCATGGAAAGTTACCCCCTTTTATTTAGGTAATTCAACAAATAATAAGAATATTAAAAGCTTTAAAATCCTATCTGTACTTGTGCAATTGCCATATTTCACTATGATGTCACATCAAAACAATCTATTGTTTAAACGCAAAAGATCATGGTCATCGGAGGGGGTCAAATCAACGCAAATTCTCCGAAAATTGTTCTAAAACCCATATCAATCCGCGAAGAGAAGTAGAATAGCCAGTAAACGCTCAGAATATTTTTTAGTACATATTAACACATCATATCTGAAAACCAGGCCATTTTGGACTGTTTTCAAGGAGCAAATTTGGTTGAATTTTTTATTGGATTTGGCGATTCTATCCCCCACATAAACAAGCAGTGACGTCATAGTGAAATAGGGCAATATGTTGCCTACATAGTAAGCATAGGTAAACAAGCCATTCTATATTGTGATTCTACTCCAGAAGAAATTACATGAAATGTTACTGTATACATGTCATATGTCCATAAATGATTTGTAACTAATTACCCATCTTTGGTCTGGTCAACAACACCAGCTAGTAGGGATAATGTTGTTTCATCGTACTCTTGAATCTTAAGCATGCCAAGGTAGTCCCTGATAAGGTTTTCTGGGGTCATGTACTTTTGTCCATCCTGTTCAACTGTGGCATACTGTCGGAGAATGAAGAGGTTTAGTATTTTTGACCACAATTGTTTAGCCTAATAAAATAATTATGCTGTAATAACAGTAGTTCAAAATATCTATTAATATGTATCCTTCAAGTCCCAATGTACATAGTTTGTTTTTCTCACCGTGATTTATTAAGTTTGTAACAATTATTATGCAAATAAATAAAATGTTCATTCCATACAGATGAGTGTGTGAAAGTTGTTTTATGATGATAAATTGTACAATTGTGTTGAGTTCAACCAAATAAGTGTAATCTAGGTACAAGGGTGACAAAAATGTACATTTTGTAAAAATCAAAACAATGATTAATTACTTTAATTTTCGCAACACATTGTTTTGTTCATATCTAAAAAAACTCTTTGAATTAGCTGTTTGGGAATAAAAGTAGGGAAATATATATTAGTTCAAGAATGCAAAAATAGACTGCTACTTGTTTTTGTATATGTGGTAATAAACTCATCGTGGTTTTTGTTGTGGTTATCCCAGTATTTCATGAGTCTCTTGCATAAAAAAGGCATGATATTTGCTTTGGTTGCTCAATATAAAGCTAAATTCAAAAGTCATAGCCTACAACTGTACAGTAGATCTATAAACTGACCATACCATTTCAGCATTGAACCACAGTACTTGGAGTTCAGAGATGAATATCAATAGTCCATAGTAGTATTGCTATAAGATTTTCTTGTATCATGATGTGCCCCGGTTTATCATATTGGACTTGGATTCACTTTGTGATTATTAGTGCCTCTTGGGTGCATCCATGATTTAGTGAGAGAGCACACCTCTTGCTTTTACTAAACTCATGATTTTTCTCTTTTTGCATTTTTTCTTTTCCTTTTTTTCCTTTCTTTTTTTGTTTTTTTTTTCTTTTTCTTTTTTTTCTCTTATCTTTCTTTCTTTCCCTTTTTTTTGACTGCAGCAAATAAATGGAATTTGTTTCATTGTACTTTTTCCGTTTTTATACATGAATATAATTTCTGATGTGGCATTGAAATAAATTTTATAAGATATAAACTATTTAAAATGAATTTTTTTGGTCTTCGTACTCATATTGATTCATATAAATGATAACATATTTTTTTGGCATTTTACAAAATCAATTGTGGTTGYGTGGGCCTCCTGTGTTATAATTGTAAACATGGCGCTGGGTCGTGGATGTTGTCGATTCAGCTTGTGTTCGATAGTAGAACGATAGCAGTGAGCACCAAAAACTATTTTCTTGAAGAAAGGCTGTTGTACAAGGCTAAAATCTTGTTATTCAGAAAGTTTAGCTTGTTTGGAAGTGGAGATGGCCGATGAAAGTGAAATCAAAGTGTTAACCCAAAGCAAAGATTTTATTCCAAAATGAGGTTTAGGCCTTCATTTGCTTTAATATTTCTCATATATTTTTTATAAAAAAGCCTGACAAAGCAACATTCTAACACAAATGCAGCAAAACATCTTCGTACAATTGAAAATACCACTTCAAACGGGCATTTTATTATAGTAATCAGTTTCTAACTGTTTAAAAAAGGTTTTGAGTGTTAACCCAAAACGAAAATTATGATCAAAACTCATACGAAACTCTTATAGTTTTTGGCGCTTTTTGCCATTATTGCTCATTATTGCTCATAATTGAAAAATTAAATAATTAATAATTTTTTAAATTCGAGATCAAGATAATGTCCTCCGTAATGTGAAAGAGTAAAAAAATCAATGAAAAATGCACTAGAACATTTATTTCACGCGCACCTTTGTTTTCCTATATAATTTTCCTATAGTATCCGATGCCGATCTTATGTATATATACTCTGACATAGGGAGGAAACTACAGTCGCCATATTTGAACAAACAACTCACTTTAAACCATGATGTCATTGTCTTTTAAACCTCGAACTCCACAAAAAAACTTGATCAAAATGATCCCTACGATGGGGGATTCATTTATTTAAAACTCTTTTGGCTCTTCCTCCAAGATTTCTTCAAGCAAAATTTTCATGCAGAATATTTTCGCTTGCAGAAAATTGTCTTGCTATGTTATGTCAAGGTTACTACCCGCGTAGGACTCGGGCAAGAACAAATTTTGACCTTACTACTCTCCTGCACAGGATTTTTGTAACGTGTACACGACCCACCACCAGCCACCCCACAGGGCTAGTTTTGTTCTTGAAAAATCCTTCCACAAAGTTCTCTATGGTTGACATTTTTTTGCTTTTTTGGTTGGTTTTACTTTGAAAAATGAAAGATAACTAAAGATAATTCAACACGATATCAGGTTTAGTGAAAATTACAATGGATGTCTTTCATTTAACTTGAAATTTTGGAGATTTCCGTGTTTTTTTTCAGGACAAAACTGCATCATACATGTTCTAGTGCATTTTTTATTGATTTTTTTACTCTTTCGCATTACGGAGGACATTACCTTGATCTCAAATTTTAAAAAATATTAGTTATTTAATTTTTCCGACTTTATTTCCACCATTCACTTTAATTTAAATTGGCTCCCTGTGACTCAACTTGTAACTTGAGCATCATTTAGCTAATCCCTCTTTAATAATTCCCTTATTAGAACTGAACCTGCAAACTAAGTTACCCTAGCACTCCAATGATATCACAGCAAACCCAAACAAGTTTTGAGAGGTGAATGTAATTTAACGAAAAAAATAAAAAATGAGAGGAATAAAAGCTATTGTTATATAGCTACGAAATTTTCCGATATAATGAACACTCTCATTGGTTGGAAGAAGTCCATGTGACACTGGTTAAATCTAAATGTTTCCCGACTGGGAAATAAGTTACTTATTTCCCGGTCGGAAATAAGTTGCACGTGACAATAACCGTGACAATAAACAAGTACATGTGATCAGAACGTTAAAATTGCTGATGGCGTGATATTATGCACCAATCAAAAACAACAGAGCGGGAGCAGATATTTTGCTTGAATTTTCAGTATAAATGGAGCTCCAAGCGAAACAATAGAGATTTCTCAGTGTTTCTACAGAGAAATTACAGACTTTTATTAAGAAAAAGGATTTGGAAAATACAAAAAAAGTGACTAAAAGTGCTGTTGCTACTCTCCTCGCTTTTTGGTAGAGAAATACAAGACCGTATGTGTTGACCGTTGTATTTGTAAAATTATGGTCAGTTTTTATGCATTTAGCTTGCTAAATAAAGTTCTTATTTTGTAAACTGACTTCTCAATATTTATCAATAAATTGCTATATAACAAAACGCTTAATGTCTGGTCCCTCGGGAAATTAGTTTTGTTTTCCCGAGAGTCTCAATATTTCCCTTGTCTTCGCCTCAAGAAACATCAAGACTCCTCTGGAAAAAAAACTGACTATTTCCCTTGCGACCAGACATTAAGTAAGAGTTAATTACCGAGAACTGAGGCAATAGGCCTTATACATCCTGAGGGCCGCAGGCGCGATGGATGTATAGGCTTATTGCCGACGTTCGAGGTAATCAAGTATTTTATTTATCAATTGAGAAGGTTTTCTATCAAATGTTGCTCATTATAAATGCGAAGTCTATATAGTTATTAACCGGGTTAATAATTAGCAATTATTCACCTCAGGCTCAGTGAATATCTGGGAATATTTACCAAGACGTGAGTCTTCGAGCGGCAAGGTAAATATTCTTCATATTCACCGAGCCTGAGGCGAATAATTGTTTTAGCATATACCAACTTGTGTACAGAGTAACTATATATATAATAATTCAATAAAAACAAACAAACAGAAACTTTTAGTTTGCATGACAAGTTCACGCAAAACTTTTAGCAAAACTTTTAGCAAAACTTTTAGGCCATACTTCGTTCGCTAGCCGTCAAGTGGTATAAATTGTATTGGATTTTGTTACGATCACCAAGAAGTTCGGACATTGTTCTCAGATTCCCATACAAATTCACTGAGTTTAAAGAGAAAATTTAAATTGATTTCTTTAGTTAGCTCTCTAAATACTGTACAAGTAAAATATCATTTTTCTAGCTTGATTGAAGCTTTTCTTATTGCTGTTTAGAGAGCTAACTAAAGAAATGTATCTAAATTTTCTATTTAAACTCAGTGAATTTGTATGGGAATCCGAGAACCATGTCAGAACTTCTTGGTGATCGTAACACAATCCAACGCAATTTATACTACATGACGGCTTGCGCCGAAAAGGTGAATTGAGAAATAATATATACATACTTACTCACATGAAGTGTCGTTTACGCCATCCTAGTTCTTTAGTAGTGATTTCGAACCATTAATTTTAGCGATTAAAAAAAAAAAATTCCCTTCTCCGTTGCATAAAGAAGACAAGGAAAGAGGCTCCTGACCCTAAATCGAGTCGACCCACTCATGATCGGAGCAGAATTTTCGACATTAAGTCGCGGTCCCCGGCTTTTTAACTCCGCAGGGCTACGAAAGGATAAATTTCCAATTTTACGAAACACACAATATCCGAAAAAGTCAGCAGCCAGAATAAAAAGTTCAAACTCCATCATAAAATGGCCGAAGGAAGAAAGTTTTGGACAATCGACCATGGTGACCTGGGTTCCAATGACAAAATCACCCGTACGTGGGACCCGACTGGACGTTTTTGGCAAACGTAAATAAAGCTGTTAAAACAAGACCAAATTTTAAGGTGGCTGGACCCCCTCACGCTTGACCGCTACCTTCCACGTTTGGAACGCTGGTACATAAACGTGTTTTATCCGATTGCAAATCTTTTTTGCACATAAGTCACATAAAGATTAAATTAATGTTTGATGCAGTTTTTAATGAGATCGGACGTCATAACACGTGATTATGATGAAATACAGTGGAATCCCGTTAATAAGGACACCGTTGGGACGGACAAAACTGTCCTTTTTAACGGGGTGTCCCTATCAACCGAGGTGTCAAAAAAAAAACAGCTGCAAACACATTTTTAACCATTTATTTTTACTGTACTGTAAACCTTGAACTACAATGTTCAATATAACAGTCTAAACTGGAACAAAAAGTGCATTACCGTACAAGAACTACATTCGTATTTACTGCACTGTATTGTACAATTTCATTTTGAGTTGAGTTCTGGAAAATATAAATGCAATGGTATTGCGAGCTTTGTCTATTTCATTATGCTGTAATAGGAAACTATACTGCAATGATCAGTGTGTGGTCCGTTGATGCGCAAAAACTGACAATATCAATAAACAAATACAGTAAAGACGTCTTCATATTTCAAGTGATTTTGTATGGAAACTGTCATTCAGGTCCTAGAAATGTGTCCTTTGTACTTATTAACGGGTGTCCTTATAAAGCGGGTTAATCTAACAGAAAATGTGTATGGAGCTTTCCACGCTAGTGTTTACTAGCCATCATCTACCTATGGAGCTTTCGTTGGGACTTTGAGACCTGTCCTTAATAGCGAGGTGTCCTTATTAAGCGGGTGTCCTTAGAGCGGGGTTCCACTTTATTTGTTTTCGTTTAGAAAACAATTTTAGCCTTGCAGAGCGTTCAACACTAAAATGCTTCGTACCACGTTTTGAATAAAATCAAACCGCCGTATGGCGAACTCGTGGATACTAGTTGACATTCTAGAGATTGGGCTTCCTGTGTTTTATACTTGTTGATATGCGAATGTTTCGAAGTATTTCGCTCAATTTCATATTTTAAATACTCGATTTAGCTGGTAAGATGATAAGTCGTCCTTTCATTTTCCTTTTAACACCTACTTTGTTTAGTTCTTTGTTATTTTGTTTAGTTTAGATTCTGTGTGATTCTGATGATTGTCTGAATGCAACGAAATACGACTTCGACAGACTTCTATTTGCTAAGTCTTTTGAAAAACGAATTCTGGATTTTGTTTTTAATTTAAAAGTCGGGTCGAGTGCTTTATTTCAGGAATCATTCGTTTAAATCTTTCTGGCTAACAAAAAGCGTTGCGTTATGCGTTACTACTTATCTTGACCTTCAAGGGTCACGGCGCTTACAGTTGATTCGTTGCCCGAAATGTTTATATTGAACACTTTATTTACACTGTGAACTAAGCGAATCATTGTAGAAATTGGTTTAGAAATACTTTTTAATTTGTTTTCATTCAAATCTGTAAATTACGTAAATTAAGTTTTTTCATCTTTTCACGGTGTATAATTTACCTTTTCATCATTACTGT